GAACTATATCCCCGGGTATAAGTATAATATAATAATCATGAAACCTGATCACAGCCCACGGATTGTTTTATATTCTCCCTAACCGAATGAGCTACCAGGTCAACGGAAATGTCCTACAGTTATAAGGGAAGGTAACTATAAAAACGAATAAAAAACGCAGTTGAGTCCTTTGGTGTTTTGTCTGCAATTGGACAGGCACATTTCGCGATGCTAAACATAAAGTTACCAATTTGTTAAAGAGCATAATAACGGAGAATGGTGGATTTTATCTTTTTTGTTTTTGTTTTTTTATGCTGTATCATACACTGATACACATTTATTGTGGCTGATTTATTATTTAGATCATTGCTAATATACCCATAGGTATGTTGAGTGTTACTCGTTTTATCGGCTTAGATTGGTGGGCAGTGGTACGGAAACGTTTTTTAAATTAATTTCTTTTTGGTAACGTTCCCCTTTATATATTTATAAACAAAAGATCTTTGGATACAAATGAGGAATATAAATTTACGGAATACTCAGTGGAGGCTTGGGTAGTTCAGCAGGTGATCTTTAATTCATGAGCTCATTCAGTTACTGGTAGGTTTTAATCAAACGGCGGCTTTGAGACATGTGTTTATGTGGTGAAATGAATAAGCTTGTTCATGTTAATCTTTTTTCTGTGTTTTAAATAAATTGTAATTATGTTTTTTTACGGCGCTTGTGTGAATTTATTCCGTGCTGTTTAGTCTTGTGACAGAGGAAATTATGTAAATATTACCTTTCTAGCGAGTTTTAATAAAAACAGCAATACTGGATGCAGCGCTGGAATTTTAATGCTTCGTTTATCAATCGTAGCATATCTATTACGAAATATAACTCAAACTCTTAACGAAATATGAAAATAAACACTGATATGGATTGCATTGTTGTACCCCTAAATATGTACCAAAATATGGAGGTCCTTGCAAACAAAGTTATACTTAAAGAAATGTCTAAATAAATCATAGGAGAATACCGAACAGTCAACAGCACGTATTTGATTTCTATATCAATGGCAAATTTTGAACAAAGGGAAACAAATTACAAAGATAACCAAGAAAAAGCAATAGGAGTATGTCCAGATATTCCGGAAGGGTAATAGTTTTTTGTTTTTCGATGAACAGCCACTCAAAGCATAGACAATGAAAGTAATTTCATGGCGAGAACCAGAGAAGTGACAACAAAACAAGGCACATTAATGAGCATTATCAAAGCCATCGAATTTCGTATCACACAAACAAATATATATATTCCTAATCAACCAATGATGGCGATCAAGAGCCTCTCCCATATTCTTCATGAACCTGCATGTCTTGTCAATTAGCCCTTCAGTAGTCATCGTCCTTCTTGGAGATCAGGATATTTGGCACCAATTTCATCAATTTGATTTATTTTCTCTACGTCTTTTCAAGCATCCTTAATTTAATTTTGGTTTTTATCTTCTGTATGCCGATATCAACAAAACATGTGCAATTACCTAGTAAATGATAAGGTTTCAGCAACTTATAACAGATATTACAATATATTTATAACAATTGATAGTACTATAGTTTTATAACAATTAATATAACTACAGATTTATAACAATTAATAGGACTATAGATTTATAACAATTAATGTGTTTAAGCTTTATAACAATTAATAAGACTTTAGATTTATAACAATTAATAAGACTTTAGATTTATAACAATTTACATGACTATAGATTATTATAAGTATTGTTGGGCGGATTGGCCGAGTGGTTAACACTCCGTCCTTCCACGCAGGCGGCCAGAGGTCGATCTTCAGAGAAAGTGTTTTCCTCCTGCCCACTCAACTCCAACAACCCATGTGGAGTATAAATTGGTCCGGGTGGATGCTGCGATATCTGTTCTGTAGTATTCTAGTGAGGAAGCGCTATAAATGATGCCGTTGGAAGCACGTCCAACTACAAACAGAACACACTATATCTCCAGCACACACGCAAGCACACACGCAGGCATACAAACATAGGAATATATTAGCCAGGTGGCATATGACTAGTAGTTAGCACTACATCAAATGCTGTATATTATCATTATTTTTATTATTATTTAAGCAATAAACTGCATAGAATCACAATGCAGTTATACCTGTTAGACCGCCACATCTATGCAGTTTATTGCTTATATTTATATTTTCGTAAAGAGAATTCGCAAAAAAATAATTATGTCTTTTCCAACTTTCAAATTTCCCGCTTATTACCGTCAGGTCAGGTCAATATCTAGAACGGCACAAAGATAATAGCGGACGTCCCGCGCTATTTCCCATACAAAATTCCTACGCCACCAAAACCTGACACATCCTAAAATGACCATATATTGGAGCATACTGTCGTTATTACCCATGATATCATAAACAACAGTATGATCCTATATGAGGACCACATCCGAATCGTTATTACATGCGAGAACTGTGCCTAGAGGTTAGGCGTCTGGCATTCTCCTACCACTAGCACACTAGGTCGCGGGTTCGAGGCCTGTGTGCAAGAGGGGCAGTAGCAAGGTACTGGCCGCAGGTCGATGGTTTTTCTCTGGATATGCTGTCTTTCTTCCACCACAAATACCTGTTAATGTTTTAGTTAATAGCTGTTAATATGACGTTTAACAGAACCAAGCGAACTAACGAGTCTATATATAGTCGCTGCAACCCTCCGCGAAGACTGATCGACATCTTTATGTTAGCTTATATATGAACAGCTGCCATCAACCTCTAACTGCGACAAACAGAGTTAGAAAAAGATATCTAGACCACAATCTTGTAGGTACGTAACCGTCGCCGTAACTCTTACTACACTTCAAATAAAACTGTGAAAAATAGAACTAGAAATGGAAAATGTTATTGACTTTTTGTGTAAAAGTCGCAGTCACATCTGCCAGAAAGGTTACTAATGTTAAAGCCTATTTAATTTACTTTTGAATTAGTAATATTTCCCTTTTTTCAAATAATGTCACACACACATACAATCGGAAATAGGATAATCGATGAAAAGCCTTTTTTTTAAATCAACATAAAAAAATCAATCGGAATGCTTTGATTTACATAAAAATGTAGTTGCATATTCGTCATGTTCCAGTTTCAACGAATTTTGCTAGCTAACTGCAAAACCTTGCAGCGTCCTTAGAAATAAAATATGTGTGGAATTAGATAATCAGTCATGTTCCATGAAATCAACACATATTTTGTTCATGTTAATTGATCAATCATGTCATATATGAGCGGTTCTCAAGCTAGGTTGATAAAACGGCAGTGTGCCTACCGAAAGAACATTTTTTGCACTCATGATGTTGTTTTTCTCTCGCAATAAATATATTAGCTTCTATAACAAAGGTAAGTTAAGTAAAGTACTAAGTAAAATGGATAATTTGTATCAAATAGTTATCCTATTTATGTAACATTTGATTGTATTGTATTACCTGCTCATTACAATTTATTAGTTAATACGGGTGAAAAAGAAGTAAAATTGATTTGAAAAAAGTGCTGATATTTTATTTGTTTGCTAGTTTGGGATGTATCGTCCTCGCACCATCTTACATTATGCAAGACGGGTACCTAATTAGAAACATACTAAAACAAAAAAGCAAATAGGATAAAAGGGAACACTGATGTGTTTACAAAACCGTTATCCACACGAACAATCCATCAAACTAGTGCAAAAAACTCCTCAGAAACACTTGAAACCGTCTCAGAAGAATAAGATCGACATGGTGTTCCGGAAAGGCAACGATAACCTAAGTGTATGATGATATTATTGTTTTAAAATGTTTTGGTACACATATTGCGTGCTGAAATATATCTTAAACTATCGCTTACTGAACCATAATAAAAGCAATCAAACTTTGTCAAAGACAGAAACAGCTGGAATTCATGTCGGGAAATATTAACTATTTTGTGTAAAATGAAGATGTATTATCCTGCTACCGTACCTGACTATGTAATAAATCGCGCTGTCTCTTATATTATATTGTATATAGGAACAAAATGAGTATCCTAATATTATCATGACAAACTGTATCATTTTGAAGTTTTCGCGGTATGGAAATATTCGCATTTTTCGCTTTGAATAAATCATCGCGTTCAACATTCTACATGTGATATCTTAATAAAGATCATATAAAGATTATAGCAAATAAGACTACATCGGTTTCTGAACAATTGCCAACGATTTAGTGTTGTTCGTACAAACTGTATACCACCTAATTTTAATGTCATACAATGTTGTAAGTACATACTTCATAAAACATTTACAAATGTCATATACTGTTGTTGAACTTCATTTACATAACATTTCTATGGTGTCGTACATTGTGATGCGTTTAAAATGCATACAACTATAATATAATATCTTTCATTATTTTATGAACATAATATATCACATTTATATTTTGTCATACACTGTTATATCTACATGTATATACTGTATTCGACATGTTTATGATGTTATATATGTACATAGTAAACTACGTAGATTGTGTATACCGCATTTATACTGTGTCATAACTTTATACCACATTTAGATAGTGACACAAAAAGTAGTTGAAGGAGTATAACATCATTAGTTTATAATTGATAACGTAATATCAATAATGCTGAGTATTATCTAATTTATATAAGATACTGTACCTTTCATATTGATTAGGAAATGTGAATAACAAACAATTCGATATCCAATGTAACAGTTTGTATTTTTTTTATTTGAGTATATATGCATAAAATGTACAATCCATAATTTAAATTAGTTTGAAATGAATATGATGTTCAAATATATCAAATGCTCGTTTAGTCCTGTTCAACATTTTGAGTTACATTATGTACAAAAAATGAAATAAAATACGATATATTTAACATAAACTTCACGACAAGTCACTTTTTGATTTTTTTCTCAGAGGATAACCATGATGACGACACTGATTATATTTACAGTGTAGCACTTTGGAAAATTGCTGCATTAACCACCAATCTTATGAAGTTTCTTTCCTTTTTCCAAAAGCAAAGCAACAACCCGATCTTGTTATGTGGCTTGTAGTGGCAATGTTGTCACGTTTTTTAATACGTATGTTCTTGCGTGACTGAGTATTGAGTGCAATTTGTTGATATGCTTTGCAGACATGTATCTGTTTGAATAATTTTGCAAAAACGTTGTCAAAATTTGCTCCTGTCTTCGAAGATACCTCTTGCATCATTCCTTCCAAACCATTGTTGTCAACCCAGTTCAGTGCTTCAAAATATTCCACCTCTCGGTAGTTTTCCCTGTCCAGCTTGTTTCCTATCACGATACAAGGTGTATCTTTCTGGTCGTTTCTAGAAGCCTTGATCTCCCTCCATGTTCGTTTCACCTCGGCAAACGATTCCTCCCTATCGAGAGCAAACACCAGCACAAAAGCGTTCGCCTTCTGTATCGCTAGCCGCCTCATAGCAGGAAATTCAATAGATCCTGATGTGTCTAAGAACTCAATCATAATTCGTTCGCCATCAATACAAACGTCAGTAGAGTACACGTCTTCAACTGTCTGTGTGTATTTGTGAGAAAACGTTCCGTTTAGGTACTTGTGCAGTATGCTTGTTTTCCCAACACTGCCGCTTCCCAGAACTACGACCAACTGTTTGTGTGCCATCGTCGACGAGGTAAAATTTAAACACGCCACATTCAAGCAGCTTCTGTATTTATATAGCAGCATTCAATTAGCACTTACAGAGGAGACGCCAAATCGAGCATTCTAGGTACATAAGTACAAGTCACACTTAGTAATACTGTAAACTTGCATGAAATAAAGATTAACTCGTAATATTTGTGTTTGATCTGTCATTTGCGTCTAATATATTTGAACATATGTACTTTACAAATTGAAGAACACATCAATTATATTTTGAAATACCTCTTCATTTCTACGATATTTGAAGATGCAATGCGTAAGAATGCATTAGTTAAAGATTCATAACAAAATAACACAAACAGCAAATTACACTGTAGACTTGGAGAATTTCTGGCCGCAGTAACGATTCACGAAATACTACAAATTCACATATTATACAAAGGACCCCCCACCCCAATTTGTCGGTGACTTGCAGACAAAAACTAACCGGCGAAATTTAAATTGGCATGTCAGTGATCCAGTGGTAACACTGCCAGTCTCGGTATCTCTATGTAAACCCACCAATAGAGTAAACTAGGTGTGATTTCTACAATACATGAACCCATATATTATAATTGGTATTATTACCCATTTTCAAAACACCTGTCCCCGGTTTATTCTGGGGAAAAAATAGCTCGAACTGATATACAGTAAAGAACTGACCATTAAGCGTAGGAAACTATACATGTCGTACAGAATGCAAGGTAAGTTATCAGCATTTGTGATTATGTGACATTTTACCATCACTTATATAACGATTGATAAAGTGTTATAGCGGTTTTCTCGCTGACGATAGTGAAGCAGGTATATGTTATTACTTTCATGTATGTGTTGAAATTGCTTATAATAAGCTAAATCAAACTGAAAAATATTGGATTTTCTTTACATATAGTGAAACTTTTTAATTGATATTATTGCCTTTTTGTGTCTCATAAGTCGATTAACTTTGACTGGATATTGTTCCAGTTTGTATGTTCATTTAACTTTTTTTTACATGTTGGTCAATATGTGACACTTGAGTAATATATTTTATACAAAATGGACTTTTGTACAGGTGAATATGATGTGATATGAATCTAAAAAAGTGATATCGACCGAGGCGAAGCCGAGGTAAATACTGTATTACTTTTTTCATGTTCATATTATTCTTTTATAGTCTTTGACTGAGGTCGATATCTGGATTTATCAACCCGAGAAAAGATATAATGACCGAGTACGCAGTCCAAGGTTAATTTTCTTTTCTCGGGTCGATAAATACAGGTATCGACCGAAGTTAAAAGCAACAATTGTTTTATTATTTTCAAAACAGTACAGTAAGTAATTTGAAAAAAGAACACGACAAAAAAGCATCAGAAGCGGGATGGCGCGTTGTTTGGAGACACGTCATAATTCTATTTTTAGAAACACCCAGTCCTTCAACAAAAATCACACGCTCCAAGTCAATATCGGTTTTTATCGGTGGACACGTGATGCACCCCTGGCCAAACATATGTCGAAAATAATATGAAAAAATAATAACACAAGATATTTACCAGCACAAAGCCCATAACTGTTTTATTATATGCTTCAACAATTAAATTTCGATATATGGGTGATGCTCAATTCTGCATAGACATTGCCTTTTGAGTTCCATGTACATGGCTTGGAACGTTCGGTTTGACGTTGGAAATTCTATACCGCTGATGATGTCAAATTCCTGCAAATATGTATTCAATCTATGCCTTATAGACGTGAGAGTGGACTTAGTGTATAGTTCATCTTTGCTGTAACGAGCCAACCTTGTAAAATTTAGCCAGGGATGAATCCAACAGTTCGGCATCATAGCTTTTGAAGACATCGCAAGGTTCTTTAACTCCGTGTTCTTTGGCCTTTTTGACAGCATCGTTATCTTGACTCTCGACTGTTTTTTGAACTGTAGTAGAAGAGGCAAAGCGTTCTCCATCAGCCATCTTCTGTTGTCATCTGACAGATCACCTGCCGGTCTAACTGCGCATGCGCTACGGCAGATTGCGGGTAATTTCCATTTAGGCTATATTTAGAAATTGCTATTCACCGGATAACCAGTCTACATGAGTTTCTGATGATTGGTTACGAGTATAGGATCTGGCCAATGTGTTTGAGAGAAATGATTATCCACACTGTATATGTCGCTGCTCGACACTTTTACATTTAGTATAGTTCCATGAGCTTGGATGAACCTCGTGCAAATGTGGGCTAACTCGGTCAGACGCGAAAATTCAAAATGGCCGCCACCTGGCGTCCAGTATATCATACAAATACATAACTATATCTAGATGTCCGTTTTACATGATTTTTGGGTCTAAATATATGTTTTGAGGGACAGGGATTTCATTTATTAGCATAATAACTCGATAAAATGTAAGAACGATTTATTTTTTTATTTTGCTGCCAAAAATCAGATAAACCGCCAGCTGACTGCAAAGGAATAGACCAGAGAGACTCCCTTAATGATTTTGATGCAAAGTGTTCATCTTTAACTATTGTAAACTAGATAAAAACAACCATTGTATGAAATGTTTGGTCAATGATTTTGTTTATTTCGTGTTAAACGTACTCGCATCAGCCATAATCATATGATTGGTTTGGTTTGGTTTTAATTTGTTTTACTGGACGCAATGTGGCGGCCATTTTGAATTTTCGCGTCTGACCAAGTTAGCCCATATTTTCACGAGGTTCACCCCAGCCCATTTTAATCAGCACCCTCAAATTGAACAAAATCAACATTCAAACCTTGGTCCGGGATTAGTGAGTATCTGGACGTGTTAATTTGAACGCAGACAAATATAAATATATTGATAGGATGCATATATAGTTTCCGTTCGATTAAGTTCCTTCCTCGGTTGGTATTTTAGATTATTTTTGTAGCAACATGGGAAAAAGAATAAAAAATGATAAACGAACATTAAGGTTCGCTCCATTGTCCATTGTCTCAGAAGATCAGAAATTGATAGACGCTTTGAGGACAAAAATGTTTTTACGCCTATTGTTAAAAGAGCAACACAGTACACTGTAAGATTGTGTGTTATGTTTTAATGTTTAATTAAATGAGATTGTGTGGAATGTTAAATTATGTAAAATTGTGTGTAATATTAATTACAGCAAAAACAATTTTTGCTACCTCACCATAAAAAAAAGAGAAACAAAAGCAACACAGCATTCTACTGAAGGTTTGAAAGGGTAAACACGAACGGATTTATTTTCATGAAAAAATAAGTTGCTTCCCTTGGATCAGGAATAGTTATCAGCTTTGAAATGAATACTAGATGTTGTTTAATTATCCCTTTATGCATGACGTCGACAAAGTCTAGAAGCGGAAATAAACATAACACCCTTTTCCCCTCAAATACTAAAATCATGATGAGAAATATGAATCATTGCTTTATTAATTAAAAAGGTAACCGAACGTTCGGCACTGCCTTTACCAGTGCTACTTAATGAGTTGTCAGCTTATAAGTCGTTTTCTTTTGTTTAGATTTTTAAGTGGTATTACATCCGATTCACTTCCGAGTAATTCAGTTTTCCAGCAACTAGAAAAAAAGTGTGTTTGCTTCGATAAAATAATAGAAGTTATCTTCTATTACTATCTGCTATAATCTATATATGATCTTTAATAGACTTTTACGCGTTGATATATTCAACGCGAAAATAATATTAAGATACTCTGTATGTTGCTAGATAATATCTGATAAAAAAGAAATCTTTATTTTTTCGATAGTCAGGTATGGTTACAGGCTTATACATCTACTTCATTTTAAGCAAAATAGTTCACATTCCCCGATCTTAATTCCAATTGTTTTCCTGTCTTTGAGAAAAGTTTCTTGTTTTCATTATGGTTCAGTCCGTGCTAGATTAAGGTATATTTTAGTATAGAATATGTGAACCAAAACATTTTAAAACAATAAAAGCATCATATATTTAGGTTGTTGTTGTCCTTGTCTACGTCGATCCTATTCTTCTGATACGTTTTCAAGTATTGCCGTGGGTTTTACCCATTTGCTCATATTTTGCACTAACTTGATCGATTTTCAGTGTAGGTAACGGTTTTGTAGACACGCCGGTGTTCTCTTTCTTTCCTCTCCTTCTTGAATTTTGTTTTAGTTTAATTCTCCTTACGTACCCGTCTTGGCAACAGCTAAATCAGCATAAGTAAAAACTCTCCCGTACAATGTAGCTTCATTTGTACAACTGTTTATTTTCTCTGTGTTCAAAATACCACTTCCAGATACTCACCAATGTGTCACAGACAAACCTATCATGGTGCGCTAACTTGTCTGACACATGTGGCAGTTGTACTAGTTGGTCTGCCACATCTATGCAGTTTATTGCTTAAATAACGCCATGCAGGTTTACTTTTTGTAAGTTGTTAACTTTTAATCTCGTTCATACGGCTTTTTATCTCGTTAATTCCAGTACAGTTCGTTCGTCTTTTTATGTCGGGGGCATGTGTTGTATTATGTTGATAATTGATTAGCCCTGTAGTTCAAATTTAAAATTTACAACAGTTATCGGTTTGGTTTTGTTTAGTATTGTTTAACGTACTATGAACAACTATGGTCATTTAAGGACGACCTCCCCTGTGTGCAAGATGCATGCGTGTAATGTATGCGTGTGTGTTTTGGGAGGCTGCGATATGTTCGTGTTTGTCTGCTTGTGATAGCACGGAACTGATGCCGACTTTATAGTGCTACCTCACTGAAACATACTGCCGAAGACACCCAGCAGAACATCCCACCCGGTCACATTATACTGACAGCGGGCGAACCAGTCATCCCACTCCTAAATTGTTGAACGTTAAGCAGGAGTAGAAACTACCACTTTTACAGACTCTGGTATGCCTCGGCCGGGGGACAGAACCCACAGCCTTCCTCACAGGGGCGAACGCTCAACAAAAGACCAAAAGTGAGGCATTGTCAAGGGAGACATTAGGAAGAAGAAAGTTGTTAAAATAAAAAGGAGAAAAG